CCGACTTTGCTAGAACTTGAATTAATTATTTCCGATTCTCTAGCTTCTCCATCTTCGTTTCATTCATATTCTTAGATAGATTTATATTCTTGCTTTGTTCTTTATTTCTTAGTTAATAATCCATCCAATCTTTATCTGATTAGAGTGTTTAGGATTTATTTTTCCTTTTTGTGTTATCGATACCAAAGCTAAATTCCGAACCGCCTTCCTCGTGAGATCGACCCGGGGAACGAATCTTTTGATTCGGTACTCGATAAAAATATAACAATTTGTACTACAACAAATTGGACGTCGTTGCCGGGGAAGGCAAGTAGGATATTTGGTCTTGGTATTGAGTTTATTTTCTGTGTTTCTCTTTATTTTTGCATTTTTAGTTTTTTTGTTCTTTCTCTGCATTTTCGTTTTTCTATTTTGTGTCTTTTTCTTCTTCTCTTTTCCGTGGCTACGTTGGGTTGTTTTGTTCTGTTGTGCAGGGATATGAATTTCAATCACGAGTATTCCTCCCCGCACTTCCCCTCTTGGAACAATGAGCCGAGTTATTGTGCCGGGTACTACACCCAATCGCACCCATACTCTTCCGAGCAGTGCTGGAACTAATTTTCGGTCGAGCAGACGCATGAGTCCAACAAGTTTAACGAGAAGCTCGACCAGATTCTTGATTCTATAGAATCCCAAGCAGCTCATGAAAAAGAGGCCGCCTACAATAAAAAACTTGATCGGGCTCTCGCTCTTTTGCAAGCTCAGGCAGCCCGTAGGAGCAACCTTGAGAGCGAGGTCGCGAACTTAGTGGAGCACATTGAAGTTATAGAGGACCGATTTTTCTCTCCCGAGTCCATCACGCAAGACAAGTTTACATATATGGGTGGACTCCGAGAGGATACCTTGACGAGCGATGACAAACTCGACCTCATCCTTGCTCGTGTGGCGGCCCAAGCAACTCGACTAGAGGAGATTGAGGGGGGATGTACCCGAATGGTGGATCAGCTCGATGGGATAATGGATCACATTCAATCCGTCAAGCCACGAGTCGATGAGACCTTGAGCACTAACTATCCGATTTACGAGGGCGAGACGGAAGAAGAGGAGGATGTGCTCCCAGCAGATGAGGGTGATATTTTGATGGAGGTAACTTCTGAGCCCGCATTCGAGAGTCCCTCATTTGAGCAGTCATGCCCCATCAAGAAGGCCCCAGTGGTCCTGCTATGCTCCACAGATGTTCTTATCCCTCCATTGGCTGACAATGGAGTTTCGGTGAAGAGAGCTCTAGGCCACTTCGTTACCCCACCTTTCTCCCATGCCCAGTTCCAGAAGAATATTGCTACCCGAGCCACCCGTACCTACCCTATCGCCTTAGTGCCAGCACCGCCACTTCTCGAAAACATGAAGGAGTGGCAAGACCGTCATTTTTTCCTAGACCCCAGCTGAGTTCCCCGAAGGTCTCGTCAAGCTAATGACGTTAAACAAGCGCTTCTTGGGAGGCAACCCAAGCAATTTTCTGCTTTCTAGATATTTTTCTTTATGCTCTTTTATTTTATCTTGAATAATGGGAGTTTGGAGTTTTTTTTGTTTTTCTCGGCATGTACTATTTATGAGCTCGAGCAGGAGGAGTATCGAAGTTTTAGGCAGAGCATAGACGAGTAGCTTGCCCGTGGATGCTCGTTCTCCCGAGGCGTTTTCGGTTTGCACACCCTTTTCTCTTTTATTTTAGTTTGTTTTCTCCTTCTCTCCTTTCTTTAGAGTCCTGTGGTAGTTGCTGGTGCTGGTTTTTTATATGAAACTGCTAGATCCTATTATTTGATTCCATGTTTTGTGTTGAAGCAATGATGTTATTGCATCATTCTAAGTGTGGGGGAGTCTATTTGGATTTTGCATGTTTATATGGTGAACCGGTCTAGTTTTAGGTTTTCTGTGTCCATGAGCATGGTATTGGTGGGTTATAAGTTGTGTTGATGAATGTTTGATGAAATTGGAAAGTTGTGATAACGAACGTGTTGGTCATTGCCTCGGTATTTGCTTGATTGCTTTAAGTGACATTTATCTGTCTTGTGAGGTTTTGAACCTTACTTTTTCTTCTTGTGAGATATTGGTCATATTCTTGAATGATTAGAACTTGCCTTAAGCTTGTTTGAAAGGAATTGATTAGAGTTTAAAATTGCGAAAGTGATTGAGGCGTTTTGTTGATTAGCTCTCTTCCTGCCTTGTTCTTTGGTCCTAAAATTTATTCCACTAGTAGCTCTTTGTGCTTAAAACTTGTCAACCTATTGACTGATTTGTGTGATGATTGGGGGATTGGTGACATTTTTGAATATGGTGGATATTGAGTTGCGTTGTTATTGGCTTGACCAGTAAAAAAAAGTAAAATAATAAAAAAAAAATGAGAGCTCACAGGACGAATCGAATGGATTCTGCTCCTCTTACAAGCCGATTCATGTTGACGGGTAATGAGCATTTGGAAACTACTGTAGGACACTTGGATGACCTCCAATGTTCACACCTACATAATGTTGTCCTTTTGATTCGATCTTGTTCGGAAAAAGTTACTCTCCGAATAAAAAGATATATATATATATAACGAAAAATTGGGTCAAGTGATGTTGCAATTCGATTAGAGCAGTGAGGTGTTGTTTGGTGGATGGTGAATGTGCTATGTTGTTTATTCCAGATTGGTAGCGGAGAACTCGATTAATTTATTTGCTCGAGAATTTTGTTGTTTATTTGAGCTTCTTTTCTGGCATATATATATATCCTTCCTTAAACCCGCATTACAACTCGTGAAGTCCTTTAGATTGCATATTTTGAGCTTTGATTGTCTTCGAGTAATTTAAGCGATTGGCAAGCATATGTTGAAACTTGAATATTGACCACTTTTGAGCGTTCCTATCGCTTGTTCATGTAAGAAAATGAGTGAGGCATACATGATAATCTATGTTTTGAGAGTTTATCATTTCAAGGCCAAGTCGATACTTGAGGCATATGGTCGTATGTTTGTTGGAATTCGACTCGATTGAATTGGATATTTTGAAGCTCTTCTTATTTGAAATCGTATCCATGCTCGTGTCTTATTTTGTTTTCTTTTTGTTCGGGACGAACAAAGGATTAAGTGTCGGGGAGTTGTTTGTCCTATTTTTGTTGTGTTTCTCGTTGTCTTTTTGTCTTTTTTCCCCATATTGAGTCTTTTCGTTTGGTTTCATTCGTTTTTATAGTTTATTGCGTGATTTGATCTATTTCGGCTTTTTCTTGTGTTTCCGTGTGTTTTTCCAGTTTTTCTTTGTTTATAGTGTGTAGGTATGAAACTTTGGGAGGACCTAATTATGGGCAAAAGCTTATTGTGCAAGCATAATTAAATAGAGGAGTTCGTTGGCAACACACAGGAAAAAACGGAATTGAATTCCGAGTGCAAACGAGCCCGAACGAGCCCAAATCGTGAAATCGTGCAAGGCTGTCGAGCCTTAGCGCCGCTAGCACCTTAACGGCGCGCCCAGGCTAGCGGTGCTACCAGCGAAGCGCGCCCATAACGACCGCCAGGCGCCCATGCCCCGCGATCCTTAGCGCCACCAAGGCTTTAGCGCCGGTAAGGCCTGGTCGCGGTCGCAAAGTTATTTTTTTCGTTCTCTCTCGTTTTTGCTCGGTTTGTCGAACCATATAAATGAGAACTTGTCCTAGACTCGAGATATATCTCGACCCGGTGAAAACCTAGGTCTGGGGAACACGATCAAATCTCCTTTCTTCTCCCTTCTTCTTCTCCATCGTTTTCCTTCTTTTCTTCACCATTCTCTTCCATTTTTTTTTTCTTTTTCTTCTCAATAATTAGGGATTAAGCTTGTATTTAGAATTCAACACTTGAACTTGGGATTAATTGTAATTTGTTCTCTTTTTATTCAATTCATGAAAATGGTTGATTTGGAGAGAATGATTGATTGTGTTGAATCGATTTTACGTAGCTAATTTCTACTGTTAGAGATAGGGGATGATTGTTCTTGTTTGAATTGTACTTGTCGGGCTTCGATTTGTTCGTACTTATGTGAGTTGTTTTGATTAGGGATTGATATATTCTTGCTTGATTGATTGATATAATCGAAGAGTGACACTTCGATCTTGCAATTGGTAACAATTGAATGTTGATTAGTCGAGTTAGGGTTTGTTGATTCTATGTGATTAGTTGATTAAACACACCTTCTAGCTAATTAGCGACTTTTTGAATCGAAAGGGGAAGAAGTCGTAGACCAAGGCTCGCATGAGGTAGATGATTCGTAATTGAATAATCTATGTGTTTCAGATTGAAATACGTGCTTGTCGATGACCCGTCCCTTGTTACAAAAAGTTATTGGGATTGGGATAATTGGCCTGTATTGTATGCTCGAACTTGTACGTCTATGTTCAATCCTTGTTACGGAAAGTTATTGGGAGCGAACCTCTAAATGTTTAAGCGAGAGTGTCAATCTCGATCTGAACAATTGATAGCCCGACTTTGCTAGAACTTGAATCAATTATTCCCGATTCTCTAGTTTCTCCATCTTCGTTTCATTCATATTCTTAGATAGATTTATATTTTTGCTTTGTTCTTTATTTCTTAGTTAATAATCCATCCAATCTTTATCTGATTAGAGTGTTTAGGATTTATTTTTCCTTTTTGTGTTATCGATACCAAAACTAAATTCCGAACCACTTT